GTGTTTCGTGAAGGCCGTCTCGGATTGGGTTGTTTTGTTGTTGTAACTCATTATTACTGATTCTGTGCAATGTATACACTTTTACAACAAAATCCCAGAACATATTCAAAGTTTGTCAATAAACAAGTTTAAAAGTTTATTAAAAAAAAACTGTACAAAAAGGGTTTGTTTAGGCCCAAATATAGGCATTTGAAGAGGCATCCAATCACGTAAGACTTAGTGTCTCACCCGATGGTGTGAGGTGAGGTAAACGCCGCCGAAGGAGAGGGGGGCGGTCGCGTGCCGCTGGCAGTCGCTCAACGCGCGGGCTGAAGACTGTAGCTTTAGTGCAGCAACGCCGTCGCAACGTCGCTTTGTGGTGACCGTGGCAGCGATTTCGTGCGACCAGTTTTGGTTTTACCAGGTCTAGATTTTCGGTATTTGTGCGCGTTACTTCGCTACTTAAATGTGTTTCGTGAAGGCCGTCTCGGATTCGGTTGTTTAAGTATTGCAGTGAGTCTACTCGGGCCGCGTAATCACTGCCTTAGAAGATCGCGTTCGATTCGTGAAATAATTTGTGGCTGAGTGAACGGAAGTGAACTTTGACTCACCGCCCATCAGTCGTGCTGCGTGTTATGTTTTTGATTATAATTAACGGGATTTAGTTGAGTTTTGAACGTCAAGTGGTATAGTGGTTGCATGCTTAAGTGCATTCTGACAATATTGATTCGCGTTAACGAGTTGCTTTGTGCTATTGGATTTAACTCGGAGATATTTTCCTGTGTCGGTTAAAACAGCTAAACTTTGTGACCCGCGAGAACCAGCGTTTGTATTAGATTATAGATTTGTGCTAATGGACGCTAGACTTTAAGTGACACCGAGTGACACCGCTGGAGTGATACCACATAGTGTGGCGGTGCTGGAGTCAGGGTTGCTGCTGATTAAAATGGGCTAATTCAGGTTAAACATATATACACTTCTCACACACTACTTACATGCACCTACTTAACGCCTGAACCTTGTGGTCCTTCTTCGCCTCTGAACAGGTACGTACTATTTATTTGCCTAGCTTTATCACTGTCGTGTAGGTCAACTCTCCATAAGGCCAATTGGGCCCGAACTCTCTGGTTGCTCGTCGAGTGTATTACTGATGGGCCCTAATACAGTCGACTTCTGTCTGGGCAACTGAGAGCCGTAACAGGGTTATTATAATATCAAGGAATACATGAATGAAAATGGGAATAGGGCGATCGCCACCATGCTGGTTCTATGAAAAATCATTTAAAAATTGTATAAACAAAGTTATTGTTAAGTGAAATTATGTTTAAAAAAATCCCGCTGGGTTTCTTGCTGGTTCTTCCCAGGACTGAGGTATTTTTCGAACCAGTGGTAAATAAAAAATGACGAACTAATTGAAGATTGAGACGACATTAAGGCACGGTTACTTTTCCAGGGCCAACTTTACAAACATTATGCGGTCGTTGATTCTGTTTCTTTTAATAACTTTTTCGCTGAAATGTTGATCCAGGATAATTCTAATATCATTATTGGTATTGTATTTGTCATTAAATATGAGTTTTAAACCGTTCTCGATTTGACGTGATTTGGCGCCTTTCCATTTTGTTTCTTGCACACAACAAATATTTATGCGTAGTTTACATGAGCTGAGTTCGGCACTTCTTCTAGTTATTGTGTCAATATTCCAAGTTCCTATGCGTAGATTGTAATGTGTCATCTAATTCGCGCGAAGACAAGTGGGGGTGCATGAATAGCCCGCGCGGCTGACGAGTGACCTCAGTGTGACCGTGAAGGTCCAGTCGCCTAAATGCATTTCTGCATCTATATTAAATAATTCAAAACGCATACTTTATGCAAATTATAGCTAATAGCTTTTTATAGGTTTGTTAATAATTATTAAATATTAACGGTTGTTCCCCTTATATTGGGGAACCTCGCCAGGGGCTGTGACATCCTTCTTTTTATTTTATTTCTAAACGAGATAAGATGGGAGGATTTGGAATTAAATGAAATATATATATATATAAAATATACATTGAATTCGCAAGCGAAATCGGTCTATAAAGGACACATATCTCCAACCACTTCCGCCGGACTCGCCGCCAGTCGTGCCAGGGAAGTACTTGCTTTTTCTCCTGATCCTGAAAGGCGTCGAACCCGCGACCTGTTAATTTTATTTTATTTGCCTTTTTTATTATTATTAGTCAACTTAGTATTTTCTTAGAAGTATTTATATTAGTTTTTTTTTTATAAGCAGGTATTATTGAATATCTCTTTAGAAGTACTCATATTAGTCTAGTTTTACAAGTAGTGTTATTAAATATATCTTTAAAAGTACTTATATTAGTCTAGTTTTATAAGTAGTGTTATTAAAAATTGTAAAAAAAAATGTTGTTATTATTTATTTATTATCAAATAAAATAATAACGTGACATTGGCGCCTCAACTCGGTTATTCAGGATCAAGAATTTTAGTGGTGTGTGCGTGTATATTGTAAACCTTTTGTTTTTTTTTATGACTTTTATTTTGCCTTTTATACTTTTGCAACTGCAGTGTATATAATGTTTTAATTTTAGTGGTATCCTTATTGTGTTTAATTTGTATACGTACAAAAATAAAATATTTTGGTTTTATTAATATATTTAATAATAAGCTTTATTAAAGCAAATATATACTACAGTTGCACCCTTTTGTTGTATTTTTTTTCTCTTTATTTTTTTGCTTTCCCGTGTAGTAATTTTTACGAACATCCTTAAAAAAAAAACTTAGGGGATTACTATTACCAAAATTGTAACAGGACGGAGGATTCTTACTTAAACAAATTAGTTTTATTGTATAATTATAGAATTTTAAACCTGCTCACATAAACCTAGTATAAGGATTTTCTTAGACTTCTTAAATTATGTCATACGAAATTCAATTCTTGTCCTTACAAAAAAACGAACTAAGCTATGAGGTGGCCATTAGAGGCGGCACACCCGGAGAAAACGTTCAAGAATTACGCAGGCAGATAGTCAAATTAGCCAATGTGATGCCTTCGGATGATATTATTGAATCTGGGTTTGAGTTTTCTGTAGACGTAGAGGGCATCCGCGAAAGCCTTGTTAAAGTAGAAACGAATTTAAAAACATTATCAGTGAAATATGATAAAAATTTATATAAACGTACTCAAAACTTACTTAACCATTTATTTCATAGGATTCAACGTCTGGATGCTGTAGATAAAAAGTCTACAGATATTCTAGAAAGCCTCAGGCTCAAGCTAAATACAAATTTTAAAAACTTAGAACATCTTAAGCCTGATACTGATTCCTCATCTGAATTTACAGATGCTCTTACAGTTACACCGTCCCCTATTGTTGTTACATGTGATCGAGCTCATTCTTCGGACTTAACTAGTATTAAGTTTGATGGAAAAACGTGCGTACTTTCGTTTGTCCAACGTATAAACGACTACATAACAGCCCGTGGTATTCCCTCTTCTAAAATTATAGATTTTGGAACAGAAATTTTCGTTGGTGATGCTTTACACTGGTTTCGCAGTGTAAGATCACATGTTACGTCTTGGGATAGATTATGCGAATTACTGAAGGATGTTTTTGTTATTCCTGATCATGATTATCGCTTATTAGACGAGATAAAAGCTCGTACGCAAGGTGAAACTGAGAATATTACTATTTACCTAGCCATTATGTCAGGCATGTTTTCCCGTTTATTTAAAAAACCTTCGGAGGAAGATCAGTTAGAAATTATTATGCACAATATCAAACCGTGTTATGCTAGCGCTTTAATTGCAGTGCCTGATCTTAAATCTATTGAGGTCTTACGTACGGCTTGTAAAAATTATGAGAATGTACAGTCTTGTCTTAATAAATATCATGAACCTCCTAAAATAAATTCAGCCACACTAGCACCCGAATTTGCATTTAAGCCACTCACTAATTTAGCAGAAAAAAAAATAAAATGTACTATTCTACCACCAATAAATTTAATTGCAATAAAGCTTATAATAATTATAATAAACCTATACCTAATTCAAGTAACCTTTATAAAAAATATTCTCCCAATTCTAATGTTTTAAACAACACTAATCCGCAACGGCAACAAAGAGTTTATGGTAATAATAAACCAATTGACGCTATTCAATATGACGAAAGTAAACAAAAGTTTTGCCCCCGGTGTCGTGTTGATACACACAACTTAAGACAATGTACAGAAAAACGCAAAGTATTTTGTTTCAAATGTGGCCGTGATGATTACACATTTTACACTTGTCCAGATTGTACAAGTATTCGGTCTAGTTCAAAAAACTAATAAAGCAGAATTGTAGCAACCTCGTCAACCACTCAAATAATACCGATTGGAAACAGTGGTTGAAATTTATTAATAATTTTTTTAATAGCTATATAGTTGCTACAATTCTACTTAATAAACCACCTAACGACGTGCGACCTTATTTATCAGTCAAAATAGGAAATACAAAATTTTGGGGGTTATTAGATTCTGGCTCAGCCGTCACCTTACTAGGCAATAATGCACACAACTTACTGATAGATGAAGGATTTGCTGTGCACACTGATGAAATAGTCTCTATAACAGCAGCCGGTGGACAAAAACTTAATTGCTTAGGATATATTAATCTCCCATTTAATTTTGAAAACAATTATTATACTTTGAAGACCTTTGTAGTTCTTGAAATAGAGACCTCTCTTATATTAGGTATTGATTTCTGGAAAAAATTTAACATATGTCCAAAATACATCAACTGCATTGAATATAAAAGAGAACTCACCGATTATTATTCAAACACGAATGAATCAATATTAAAATCTCACATACATTCATACGCATCCCTTAATGCCAACCAACGCTTGATTGCTGACGACATAATTGAACAATTTAAGGACGTTTCTTCCGAACGCAAGGGCTTAGGTTGTACTTCTCTTGTATGTCATTCTATAGATACGGGTGACACGAAACCTATACGACAGCGTTATTATCGAATGTCCCCTGTAAAGCAGCAAATTTTATGCCAGCAAGTTGACGAGATGCTTTCATTGGACGTAATTCAGCCTTGTGAGAGCTCTTGGTCCTCTCCAATCTTAATTGTTACAAAAAAAAACGGCCAACCGCGCATTTGCTTAGACAGTCGCAAGTTAAATTCTGTAACCAAACGCGATGCTTATTCCTTGCCATATGTTTCCGAAATTCTGGATAATCTGCGAGACGCAAAATTTATATCTAGTATAGACCTTTCTAAAGCATTCTGGCAAATTTTAATTTCAGAACGCGATCGCGAAAAAACTGCCTTTTATGTCCAAGGTCGTGGGACCTTTGGTTTTAAGAGGATGGCTTTCGGCCTTACCAATGCACCTGCAACCCAACAAAGGCTTGTAGACTTATTATTTGGTTCATTTGATCTTAAGGTATTTGCATACCTCGATGATATAATTATTATTTCTAACACATTCGATGAACACGTTTCTTTATTATTACGTGTAATAAATAAGTTAAAGGAAGCAAATTTAACAATAAACTTTGAAAAAAGCCAATTTTTTCGGTCTCGTCTGAAATATTTGGGCTACGTAATAGACGCCCAGGGTCTCAGAACAGACCCTGAAAAGGTAAAAGCTATTTTAGAGTATCCAACACCATCTTCAAAAAAAGATGTAAAACGATTTTTAGGAACATCCACCTGGTATAGACGTTTTGTGCCAAATTTTAGCACTATAGCTGGGCCTCTTAATAAACTTACTTCAAATCGCAAGGGTGCTCCAAAATTTTACTGGTCACCAGAGGCAGACATAGCTTTTAAAAAGCTAAAAGAATGTTTAGTATCTGCACCAGTTTTACATTGTCCTAACTATAATTTGCCCTTCCAAGTTCACACAGACGCCAGTAATTATGAAGTAGGTGCCATGTTAACTCAAACAGTCGATGGCAAAGAACATCCTGTTGCCTATATGAGCAAGTCACTAAATGCTGCAGAAAAGAATTACAGCATTACCGAGAGAGAGAGACATTAGCTGTAATAGTAGCATTAGAACACTGGCGTTGCTATCTTGAAAATGGTCAACCTTTTGTAGTTTACACTGATCATTCAGCATTAAAGTGGTTTTTCTCTTTAAACAACCCTACGGGCAGGCTTGCAAGATGGGGCATTAGGCTATCTTCTTTTGATTTTACTATCAAGCATAGACGTGGTGCTGATAACATTATTCCAGACGCGTTATCTCGCGCTGTCGTAGTTTCTTCTATTTCCACAGCAAATTCTTACTTAACAACGAATGATAAATGGTATCTAGACATTTATAATGGTTGTATGAACAATCCAAGTAAATATGAAAATTTTCTTATCAAAGCGGAAAAGCTATATCGGTGTTCAAAAAATAAATGTTTATTAACTACAGAGTTTTCGTGGAAAGAAGTAGTTCCATTAGAATTACGAGAACACGTTATCAAAGAAAATCACGCAGAACCCACGTCAGGTCATTTAGGCATCCATAAAACTTATCGCCGTTTAGCATTGCAGTATTTTTGGCCAGGTATGCATCGGGACGTCGTAAAGTTTGTTACGAAGTGTGACATCTGCTTAACTTATAAACTCCCTACTCATAATGTGTTAGGAGAAATGGGACGATCTAAACAGTGTTGCCGACCCTTCCAAATTATTTCAATTGATTTCATCGGACCCCTGCCAGTTAGTAGAAAACAAAATTCTTATATCTTAGTCGTAACATGTTGTTTCTCCAAATATTGTTTAGCGTTTCCGGTAAGAAGAGCTACAGCCGACATTGTAATTAAACATCTGGAAGACTCTGTATTTTTAACACATGGCATTCCCCAAACGGTGTATATGGATAATGGCAGCCAATTTATTTGTGAGAAGACCGTTGCGTTATTTAATAAGTATAATATTCCTAACGTTTTTCTTACACCTAAATATACTCCTCAGGTTAATTTGGTGGAACGCTATAATAAAACTATTGTCACCTGTATATCGACCTTTGTGAAAGAAGATCAGCGTTCTTGGGATGTATATTTGCCTAAAATACTGTTTGCAATAAACAACTCCGTTAACGAGGTTACTGGTTACACTCCCTCATTCCTTGTATATGGGCGTGAATTAGTAATATGTGGTTCTCACTACGTTGACAACGACCTTGGCGATGAAATATTTTTCTTACCGCGAGACGCCTATGCTGAGAACATCGGTTATCTCGCTAAAATATTCAACAAAGTTCAGGCATCACTATGGCATCATCATCAACAAAATTCCAAACGCTATAATTTAAGGAGAAGGTTCACAGAATTTAACGAAGGCGATATTGTATTTAAGCGCACTTACTATCTGAGTGATAAACACAAATATTTTAATAAAAAATTAGCCCCAAAATTTATTAAATGCCGCATAACTAAAAAGAGGTCACCTCTAGTGTACGAATTGGAGGACATGCACGGTAAATATTTAGGGCTATGGCACATAAAAGATTTTAAATTGTCTAAATAGCATATTTTTTGGTTTTGCTGCGGATTTTTCTACTTATAGGAAGAAAAATCCTTGGGTGGCCAGCGGGGTATTGTAATGTGTCATCTAATTCGCGCGAAGACAAGTGGGGGTGCATGAATAGCCCGCGCGGCTGACGAGTGACCTCAGTGTGACCGTGAAGGTCCAGTCGCCTAAATGCATTTCTGCATCTATATTAAATAATTCAAAACGCATACTTTATGCAAATTATAGCTAATAGCTTTTTATAGGTTTGTTAATAATGATTAAATATTAACGGTTGTTCCCCTTATATTGGGGAACCTCGCCAGGGGCTGTGACATCCTTCTTTTTATTTTATTTCTAAACGAGATAAGATGGGAGGATATGGAATTAAATGAAATATATATATATATAAAATACACATTGAATTCGCAAGCGAAATCAGTCTATAAAGGACACATATCTCCAACCACTTCCGCCGGACTCGCCGCCAGTCGTGCCAGGGAAGTACTTGCTTTTTCTCCTGATCCTGAAAGGCGTCGAACCCGCGACCTGTTAATTTTATTTTATTTGCCTTTTTTATTATTATTAGTCAACTTAGTATTTTCTTAGAAGTATTTATATTAGTTTTTTATATAAGCAGGTATTATTGAATATCTCTTTAGAAGTACTCATATTAGTCTAGTTTTACAAGTAGTGTTATTAAATATATCTTTAAAAGTACTTATATTAGTCTAGTTTTATAAGTAGTGTTATTAAACATTGTAAAAAAAATGTTGTTATTATTTATTTATTATCAAATAAAATAATAACGTGACAAGTTGGGACATTGGTACAGCGTCTCGTTGTTTTGATCTTCCGTCACATCGGGTGGAGGCCCTCATATTCGCATCGCCGTCGCTTGAGAGAGACGCCTATATTTTAACCTTATAACTCTTTCTTTCTTGTTGTGCCTCATGATTCATATAAATATTATCTATTAGTTTTACGGTCGATTTCTACCCGATACCAAGGTCTTCCTAGAAGACTTGAGAGCCGCCGTTGACCAGAATTGGTTCACTTCTCTAATGAACTCTCAGACCTAAGAGTCCATCACAAACAAGGACTTCTACTCTGGATATGTCAGAGTAGCTCTCCGGTTGGGCCTGATAACGGATTTTTCCCTCCGGCCTTTTTGGTCTGCGGTATGTATTTTATTTTCCTCCTACTTACGCATCTCTCGATCCACCACCGGAGGACGCACTCCCCAGTGTTAAAGCTCCCCCGAGATTAAATTATGTCTTAAATGTCTTGAATGAATGCAATAATATTTATTTATACAACATGAGTGGTAAACGAGCACACATTCCATCTGATAGTAAGTTAATTCTGTGGCCCATAAACAACTTCACCTAAACTCGATTAAGAATCACATGCAGATGCGTGTCACCTGTGAACTAAGATGGAGTGACTCATTTACCATAAAAAGTGTTCCATCATTAAGCGGTCATTTTAAAAAGATAGAAAGACATTTATTCACTGGTACTATACATACTACATAAAAAAAATTAAAAAAAATGCAGCGTAACCTAGAGCGCTAATCATTCTGCCATAACCACATCCGCGTGATTGTGTTTTAGAAATATATTTTATACGTATTTCTCTAAATTAAAATATTTTAGTGGCTCGTAAACATAGCTATAATACATTAACATATATACACACATATATACTATATATAAATAAACAACAAAAGCCATAGGTTAACTGTTAAGCTTTGTATATACACAAAAACAATAAACACATAATGCTCAACGATGCTGGAAGAAACATATCTGCTGGTGGCTCAAGGTTGAGCTCTTTGTAAGTATAATAAATATCTTTTATAGCGTGATTTAAAATTAAACTTCAAATTACACTTACCTCGATCTTGTCCCAGTTAAAACGACCGATTGGTGCTACAACATTAATATAGCTGTAGCATGGCTCTACCACGTATAAAAGTACACGTGGTAGAGCTACGAAATTTAGATTTATAAAGATTATTCACTATCACATCTTACTTCTTCTTCTTCATCGGCCCACGAAAGTGTTCATGCTTCTGTACTTCTTATTCTTTTCCTGTTTTTTTTATAGGATAAGGGTGACAAACGAGCACACAGTCCACCTGATGGTAAGTGGTTGCTGCGGCCCATAGACATCTACATCTATCCTCTGTTACAAATCAAAATGTAGATGCGTTGTCAGCCGTGAGGACTAAGATGGAATGCCTCATTTCCAGTAAAAAGGGCCTCCGGCCACCTGCACTCACCAAGCGAAACGCAGAGGTAAACCTATACTTCACGCTGGTTTTCTGTGAGGTCGTGGTACTACACCGGTTCGAGCTGGCCCATCCGTGCGACAGCAAAAGCTGCCGCGTGGCTCTACCACTGTTAAAATTTTTTCATAATCGCCACCCTTGACCTCGCACGTTTTACTCTCATCTTAGTCGCCTTTCAGGATATTTACGTCTAGTTTAAAAGAAATTTACCGTGTTGCGCCGGTGTAAGAATATTCACTAACCCATATCATCCGTACCATTCCGACTAAAATTAAAAAAAAAATGAGGTTGCCAAATCGCATGCCAAGCGTGCCAATTATGGCAAATATCCCCTTTATGAACTTTAATAGGCTGCAACGGTAACGGTATAAAAATTATTTTAAAGATCGCAAGCCATAAGTTTTTTCTGAAATTTTCCCATAGTAGACTCTTACGACACCCACGAGACGGAAGGTGGTAATTTTCTTACGTCGCCACCATATGGCATTACTACCGGTAAAGAAAAACCTCGTAACTATTACCGGTAAAGAAAAACCTCGGAACTCAAACTATCAATTAAAAATTAACAATTAATTGACTAAATCAAATCAAGAAGTCGCAGCGGTGTTTAAGAAATATTTCACTGATATTCCTATCTTGACAACAGAGTCATTGAATACTTCTCCAACTGTCGCCGAGTCATTACTTAAACAGAATGTTAATACCTGTTTAAAAGAATTTAGATTTGAAAAAGTAGTATCGCAAGATGTTGTAAAATACTTCAAAACCATCGATGTAAAGAAAACCGTTGATTTGTGGGGGATTCCCGTTACAGTTATTGCGTCCATAATAGATTTAATTGCACCTCATCTTGCTATTATTTTTAATACTTGTATCGATTCTGGTGTGTTTCCTGATTTAATGAAGTATAGTAAAGTAATACCTTTATTTAAAATCTGGAAGTACATTGGACCCCGCTTATTTTAGACCTATTTCTGTACTACCAACTCTCAGTAAAATTTTTGAAAAAATAATTTTGGATCAATTGTAAATTTTTTTAATACATATAAATTACTTCATAAAAACCAATTTGGTTTTACAAGGGGTTGCTCGACGTCTGACGCCGGTGTTGAGCTTATGAAATAAACTTTTAATGCCTGGGAGAATTTACAAGATGTCTTAGGTATATTCTGTGATCTTTCCAAGGCTTTCGATAGTGTTCATCATGAGACATTAATCAGGAAACTACAACATAATGG